ATGATAAATCCAAACTTCCAGTAATTTGCCGAAGAGAGCAAGGTGAAAAGGCACGAGTCTGGTACAAAGGGGCTCAAGAATGGAAGAATGTTATCCCCAGGATGGAAGCCTGCCCTTGGCCCAGTTGTGATGGATGAAGGAAGGATGATGATGGATCGCAAGGAACCTCCCTCTCACAGACCGGAAAAGGCACGACCAGCATATTCGACCATAAGAGATGTCCAAATTGAGATTAAACAGAGATCGTCCCGTCTCTTTCCATTCATCCCGATGTCAGAGGACGAGAACCTACCCTTAATTGCGTTTTGAGACAAAGGCCGACGAGTCTTTAATGAATGGAAGATTATTGCGTTTAGCAATGCATGTGTGCACGGATTAATGTGAATTACAGCTAAGCCAACCGGCGAGGATGGTGCAGGGGAAAGCCGGATATGCGGTAGTTGGGCGGAATCCCCTTATCCATTTGGCCCTTCTTACGTGGCATTTACTCGAGATGGAAGCTGGGCATACAGCTTCCTTCCGGTAGGTCTAAGAAGACAAAAGACCCTGGATTTTGATGTTCCTGGTTTATTCAGACTCTCGCATTTGAGATGGAATGACGCGTATAAAAATAAAATTATCGATGACGAGAGGAGAGAGGCTCAGTGCTCATCATTAGGGCCGCAGTTCCCAGAGGCAATGTGAGACTTGATCCAATCCAAGTAATGAGAGACCCGAGTGTAGACATCAGGGAAATTGGGTTTCGCACACGGATGTCCCCAGGACACGATCCCGACCACTTCGTACCGCTGCGTCACGGGACTTCTCCAGTACAAGCCAGATCCGCTATCTCCCTGCACGAGACGGTTCTCATCGTAACGTCGAGTCGCTCTTTATGCTGATTGCAGTCGGTGACTGCTGCATTATTCAGTTGTTGCATGCTCAAACTTTGGACAAAAAGCAATGCATGCGAGAAAAAAGAGGAGAGAGGAAGAATGATCAGGAAACAGTGAATAATGAAGTAAAATGATAAGTAATAAATATGATTTGGCTATGTATGGGTTTCCGGCATTCCCTTTTCATTCCCTTAATAAATCATGTGCCTCGTCTTGTTTCACTTCATCGTGATGGCTACAACGCTATGATTCGAAAATTGTCACGTCTGGTATTTGAGAGATTGCTAACGAACTCTCATTCTTCCATCTCCGTGCGAATGCCACGTAGAAACCACCCAAGCCATCGATTAACCCCGCAGCAACTCCTTCCTTCTTCCGTCGAGAGCGAAACGATAGAAAGAAAGAGACTAACGAAGCAGGTTCCTTGGCCATCCGAGGATCCTCCGGCGCACAAGGTCCAAGGCCCGACGATCAAATCTCCCACAGGACAGAATGCTTTTTTGCACCCGATTTCCGAGTCCACCTTCACCGACACCTCGTTGGGAGCCGTCGGGTTCTTCGGCCTCAGTTCCCCCGGCTTCACGGCTGCGGCACAAGACTCGGGTTCGAGCGGGAAATCCCAGCATGTCCAAAGCTGCATCGAAACTCACCGAATGAAGTGAGTCCCCAGCCGGCTGCCACCACTTCCTGGCCCTCTAGCGAGAGGTCGGGGAATTTCGGGAGGCAGACGGGCTTCACGCGGTCGCCGAATACGATCGTCTCGTTCGTCTCCAGCAGCGCCAAGTCGTTTTTCTGCACGAAACCGGCATCGAAGAAAGTGATTCGTCGAATGAATGCATTTTATCGTTGATGATGACTCACGGGGAAGCCCTGTAGCTTGGCTTTGTAGGCGTTTATTTCGTGATAATCGTCCCGAACGATGATTCGTTTAACCCGAACCTTCTGGATGGGAGAGGATGGGTTTTCTAAATCGTGGGAACCCAACGTCACTTGTAACTTCTCTGGCTGGGCTCTGCAAATGAGGAGAAGGAAACAAATCGAGGTCTGCTAATGAGAGCGGCGCCACGAAATCATTCTTCACTGTCGGCAATTATTCTATGAGCCGGCGTTTGCGGGCATCTTGGAAACAGAGAAAGGGCGAAAGAGATCTTCCAGTTTCCCTTTGACGCGGCATATCGTACGGGATCAATGTCTCCTGCACTCGAAGGGCCAGTGGCCCGAAAGAATTGGGCAATGGTTCGGAAATACTGGAAAAAAAGGAAGGGAAAAGGAGGAAGGCGATGACGGATTTTTCATTAAGGGAGGGGCAGAAACCACGTTATCCGGGATAGGATATCGACATGTACCCCCCGTCGAAATGGGAATAGACGGGGACAAGCAGGATTGGCAGGGGGCCAATTCCGCCCCCCTTCAAGAGGAAAAAAAAAAAACCAAAGGTTTTTCCGTTGCATAGAGCTCTATGATTGGATGAAGAGAGAATTGAAGATGCCTTGCGAAGGGTACCTGGAAACGCAATGAGCGGCGGTGAGGATGAACTTCTTGTTGAGGATGACTCCTCCACAGCCAGAATTGATGCGGACCAGCCAGGGATACTTATGAGGAGTCATTTTTTCACCTCCGAAAATCCTAGCCTTGGATTCCCTCTCTCCCTTCGCCTCTCCGCAGTCTAGGACAACGGCATATTCGCATGACGCCGACCGGACCGAGTCGGAAAAGACGGTTCAACTATTTAGCGGCAGACCGCAATCGACGGATGGCACGTTGTCGTAGCTGGGGGTCTTGCCCGTGAGGTCGAGGTCGGCGTCGCTGCATTCCGGCCAGGGAGGGAAAGCGAGCTTCGAGTTGCTCGCCAGGGAGGCAGGAAGCGGCAGAACGGGATGAGGGGAGTTGACCAAAGGGAAATTCGTCGCTCCTGGGGCTAGGGGAAGACCTAGTGGGGGTGGAACCAGGGGTGGACCTGGCCATCTCCCCAACGCCAGGTCTGGTTGGAAGAGGTTAGAAGCTGAGAGGATCGGCAGGAAGAAAGTTAGGAAATATCACAGGTTTAACAAAATACCAAATGTAATCTTCATTTCCTTTCAGGCGAGGCAATTACTTATCTTTCCTTCCAGACAAAAAATGATAATTGAGGATCATTTAAAGTCGTACCATGAAGCTTAGAATGCCAGCACTCTAATTGAAATGCCAGCACTCCTCACTTTCCATTTTTCTCTCCCGGAAAGGATAAAAAATAGTCACCCTCCTAAAGAAAGCCAAAATTGCAGTTCTCTCTTGGTAGGCTTGCGGCCAAGAGGAGGCACCAAAATCAATAAATAATTTGCATTAAATGAACACATGACATGCTTTATGAACAAAACTCAAGCCACGACCGGAAACTCTCGATAGAGGGTCGAGAGCTAAAAAGGAGCCTTTCTTCATGAATTAATACACGAACTTAGACTGAAATACTCACTGGGAGGCCAATCGACGGAAAAGGCATCTGTGAGTCCCAACAGGAACGCAAGAACTGACGTCATCAATACACCTTCCATCTCTCACGAAAGGAATAATTGAATGAAATGATCCCTAAATACACAGAAGGAAGGCAATCGTGGCATGTATGGGCACGCTTCCATCAGGACTACATAATGAAGATTCAACGATCGTTATATATAGGCGAAAATATAGCCTACACGAAAGCCACCGAGAGATCCTTCTCATCGACCCGGTGTATACCTTCTATACCTACGAGCCTTGATGGAAAGATAAGAAGGGATTAGGGAGCATCGATCTCCCTTGTCACCAGAGCAGTTAAAACGATCACCGAAGGAAGATTTCATTTGAGGGAGTGCTCCCCCCACGGAATGAAATGGCTTTCTCTTTCACCGTCCCACTGATTCCTGAGGGTTCGTCCCGGCTTCCTTTATACAGGATGGAATGGGGGAAAAAGTGGGCCGGGGAGGATGCGGATGCGGGCTGACACGATGGGTGCACTCCCTGCAGAATTCCTCGGATCCTTGGGAGGCTCGGCCTTGTCCTTCTCGACCGGCTTGTGACCTAGGCCTCGTCCTCATTTGCTCTCGCCTCGTTAATGCAGCGCTGGAGGAGGGGGAGATGAGGGGTGTGGCCTCGATGTCCTGCATTCTCTTCGGCCGGTCTCTAATCATGCAGTACATGATGTAGACAGAATAGATCTATCTCTGATGTCTCTATCCCACCATTAATAGAAGAGTCAGTCACAGCTGGCTCGGGCAAGTTTTCCTTCATGCAGGTCTTCCTTTCATGTCACGTCCAGTGATCCCATTCCCCGTCTCTGTATGGGGAAGTCTCCGATGTCATCTCCCTCGGCCCCCTGGGGAAGAAGAGGGAGTAATCCCTCAACTCATTTCGCCTTTGTTGCAGCCGACCTTGACGAAACGAACCGTGAAAATGTGACGTGCTTCGACAATGACGAAGAAAGTTTCGAGGTCTGAGAGGATTCCGAGAAACGAAGCCGAATGGATTCGCCCTCGAGTCATTTTTGGTTTCTTTTATGATGTATCGTTGCACAAAAGAGGGGAGAAATGATTGGATGAAGCTCTAGTCAATAACGCCGAGCATTTTTCCGCGAAAGAGATCGACTGAGAGGACCCTATAATATGGGAACGGCTCTCTCTCTCTTAATTGGATCATTGTATCCCGCCCAGCGCTGGGGGAAGAGAGGAAAATTCTATATCCTCATTCTCTCCCGTGCCCATTATCCTTCTATCGGCGAGTAACAGCTTCTCCGGTTACCAACGGCGCAAGATCCAGATAGCCCGTCTCTCCTTTCTCACAATTCCCCGGTCAAAGACTTTCCAGCACCAAACGGATGTATGGGTCGCATCGAGCATCAGCAAGGATGAAATTGTTCTGTGCTTGCTAACGCGAAGTTAATCTCGTCGAAGGGAGAAGGAATATTTGCAGCCTGCCAAGAGACCCTAGCCGCAGAGTCCTGAATTCCCACGGGTCGAAGGCTCATCCAGGCGCCGTTTCGTTCCATCGTACAACTCGGAATCCTTGAGCGTCATCGATTCCCCCGCGAGTGCCACCCATCCCAGCCTTTGTCTCATGATCTCGGAACCTACGAACCAGATTTCGCCTCGACAAAAAACCCGTCGTCATAAACCGGTCCATAAATATCTTTATTTCGGTGTTTCTCGGTCGTGACAGGTCCCCACGAGAGGCCCTACTGCGACGATTCTTCATCACCCAGGAATTCTTCTTGAACTTCGTCCGTTTCCCCGTTTCGGTCATCGCCGAACCCGGCCTCCAGGCTGTGCCGGCGACCATAAGTCAAGTATATGAGGAGGCCCAGCCCGTTCCACAGCAAAAACCGGTACCAGCTGTGGTTCGGGAGGAAGCACATGAGGGCGAGGTGCATCCCCAAGGAGTAGAGGGGAAGGATGGGGATGCAGGGGGCCTTGAACCTTAGGTCCGGATGGTGTTTGGGCGAACGTATCACGACCACGGAGGCTCCCGCCCCGACGGCCAGCAGAAGCAGGCAGATGGATGTGCGGAGGTTCCCCGACTGCGCATGCGCCGAAACCAGTCCACACCCGAGCGTGCTTGATATGAAAAGGGTTAAGGCGATCCACACCCGCCGTGCGGACTTGGGTGTGGGTGGAGGCCTGGCCTCCTCTTCCTCGACCACTTCGTTGCCCTCGGTCACGGTGGTCACGTAGTTCTCGTTGATGTACTCCACCTTGACGGGCCGAAGGGTTCCGTATGCCGGCATTCCTTCACGGGATGTCTGAAGTTGGGTCTCGTTGGTGTCATCGCTGAACGACGTCATCGGTAATGAGGATGGGTCACGCGACGACATGGCACCTCCCTCCAAGCAACAACGACTCTCCACCTGATATCGAAGGATGAGGACTGAAAGACTGGTCGTGGCTCCTGCCCACAGCGTCCCGATGCTCAACATGTTCAGGATCTCTTGCAACTGGGAGGAAATTTTTTTTCCCATTGGGATACAGCTTCCGAGGCATCAGGAAATGGAAAAGTCGTAAGAGACCGACCTGGAAGAAGGTGGCGATGAGAGAAGTGAGAAGGCCTGATAGAATGGCAGCGGGCCAAGGAGTGCAATACGTGGGGCTCACATGTCCCAAAGGTTTCCATAGCAATCCATCGTTTCCCATCGGTCGAATAATTCGGGCAACAGCGAAGAGCGGCGAGAAGAGAGCCCCCGTCAGTCCACACAAAGCCCCGAAACCCACGAAATACTGGGAAGAGAATCGAACTTTGTATTCCTTCTCGAATAGCGCTCGACCTCATCTCGTTTGAATTAATTTGAGATCGCTGTTCGACTGAAAGACGAGCTCGTTCTTAGAACTGTCCCCATCTGGCCGGGGCTGTTAAATGGGTCGTGTAGATCCCCCATTCGCGTCGGAGACCGGAGTCATTCCGCAAGATTCATGGCATAATTCTCCTCTTTCTAAAATCCCCTCTTATCCTGAACTTCCATCCGGCTGTCATCGGCACGAGAGGCATCAATATCCGCCTCCAGAATGGAATTTTCTCTCTGTATAGGAAATAAACCTCGTATACGAGGATGTAGGAAGGGATTGGAGCCAGACTCCTCCGGATATGTTGAGGGAGACTAGAAAACGAAGTCCTTCATCCCTCGACCCTCGACTCTCCTCACCTGCATCCCGGAGAGTTGATGCCGGTCGAAGATCCTGAGAAGCGTTGCGTCTGGCTGGGGCCCCGAGTGCGGCGAAAGGGTGAGCGTGAAGGCAGCCGACGACGTGAAGAGGAGAAAGAGGGAGGTGAGAAAATGTGCCGGGATCGCCGAGGCGATCACCTTCCCACTGCCCATCCCCTCCATCAGGGATCCCGACATGACGTCATATCCGGCGTAGATGAAGTGAAGGCCCCCGGCTCCGGACAGAACCTGGGAGAGACGCAAGATGACACCATTTAAGGACGGGCACCGAGCTTCTTTCTCGGCAATCGCATTTCAAGGATAGTCTTTGAAATGCGAAGACCCTGATGCCCCTCCCCCCCCCCTCCCCCCAGCCCCCCCCCCCCTCCTGTTATCGTTTTCGCCAGATTACATAACGGAGAAGAATCGCATATTCTGCAGTGAAGTATTAATGGGTCATTCCTCATTTATGTGTGCCAGATTTCGATAATCTCAAATCAATTAAATTTGGCAAACGGGACTGCATCGAGAAGAGGAAACAGCCAATATCATAACCTCTACTTGGAATCGGGGTCAATATAAATGCCTTTGAAATTTGACCTGAGAGCAAAAAATGGCCTCTAGTCCACAAAAGCAAACTTTATTGCCTTTTGTCCTTTTAAATTGATTAATCGATGATGATATTCCGGACATGAACCATCAGTATTTCCTTATATTTTTTTTTAAAAGAGGCACTACTCTTTTCATATTTCTAACTTCTCTCATTTTAATTACGTTGGCAGTTGTGGTGCGTGGTGAACAACCTGTTGACGTCTCTGAGCTTTCTCGTGGCGGTAGCCGTGGTTTTCATCGGCCTCGTCACCATGGACATCCGGAACTGGACATCCGGGGCCGGCTTCTTCCCTCACGGTCTCCACGGAGTAAGAATTTCCGCCGACGGTATTATTATCAGCGCCGAGGAAAATGGAGAGATTGTGTTTGCTCGGAGGTGTCGTCTCGTCTCATGCAAAACGTCGTGGGAGTGAGAGTTCGTGCCAGCGAAATGTCATTCCATGACATGATCTCTCTTTCTTTCCATATTTCCTTGTCCTTTGTGTGTAAGCATATGCGTAAAGAGCTCATGAGGCATGCAATCCTCCTCTTTCTCTAGTCCCGGATTATCCAAATTATAGGGTTTCAGCCGGGATCCCTCTGCCATTGATCCATATCTTAAAGAGAGAGAAAAAAAAGCAACCTTGGCTCCCAGAAAAGACATCGAGAGGTGTCTAGAGGAATCCCACCCAGGATCGATGACGATGACACGCTAATGAGCGAGTGAGAGGATTCATCGCGCTTTTTTCCGATCTCGCCTTCAGCCGATGAGACTAACCGTGGAGTCGCCATCAAACGTTTCCTTCTCGTAGGATCGACAGCTATAATATTTTCCACTTCCGGAGAAAATTTTAAAAATGTTCAACCATAAAATTTCATACAAAATATTATATGAATTAGGTAGGCCTATTTTCAATTCCTCTTAATCCAGCTTTAATTATAATTTTAAAAAAATAATGAACAGAAAGCAAGGAAATTAGCATATTCAGGCTAGGAGACTATCTTGTTTTTTTTTTTTTTTTTTTTTTT